GTGTATTTCGTGCAGTTAATTGGTACCCCCGTATACGTACACGATATCCGGGCGCATTTGATAACATTCTGACAGGCGGGATAAGCGATTTGCGCTATGCGCAAATAAATGTACCGGGAGAGAGATTTGAATTTGCTACTTTTGGCAGTTGCGTCGCGCTCACTGCTAGTTAAAACTGTAAATTTAATTATTTATGTCCGCGCGCGTTAACTAGATTTGAATGTAAAATTATATATATCTTACAATTAGCCTTCGGCTAATCAAATTGCACTAAAGTGCCTTATTAAACAGAAGATCCTCTTCTCCGGGAAAAAAAATTAGTGACGTTCTCGTTACGAGTCTCACCCGCTCCCCCCCCGGTTAATGCTCGCGCATAACATTCCCGTTTTTTATTAAAATTGTCTTAATGGTACTCGGCACAGTTGATAATCTCCTCCTACTTTAATTAATCCACTTGTGCGAAATGCAAGCAAGAAGTGCATTTCGACGAGGGATTAGCGAGCGAAATTTCGAAGAGCGCGTAACGAGCTTATCATATTTTCATGCTTTTCATACTCTTGCCGTAATTTCGATAAGCGATCGAGTTACCCCGCGTTTACATCGCATGTTTGCGATGCTGTATATACCTAATCATTATAAATTCCGCGTTGAATAGTTCCACGACGATGAGGGGGAAAGCGCAACGAAAAAGTTTATCCTTACCGTACTGATTTACCGTTTCAGAAACGCGGAGAAGTCGAGGAAAAATATGCATGAGATGTGCCCCTTCTAATTAGCATTCGATGAAGCTTGTAATTTTAGACTCGTCTGTTACGAAATGGGCAAGTGTAAAATATGAAATTGCGTATAAATATTCACGCTAAAGCGTGTATGACGGAGCATTCGATGATGGAACGTAATTCGGTATTGATCGGTACCGATGCTTTGTATTCATCGAATATCATTAGTAAATACGCCGTGTTTGACTGCACCGCGCGTATGACACATAAATATTTAACACGTGACAAATAGTCCGGTGCAACAAAATTGTGCCGCTCAAACACACGCAGCGCGTTTAACTTAATTCCTTATTCATATTTTAGTTAAACTTTCAAAAAATTTGTACTTCAACGAGAGAGAGAGAAAGAGAGATACAGCCGGACGATATATTATGTTCAAATGCGCCGTTTAATTTTCATTATATGTGATTGTAATCGTTGTAAAGCCAGAAAGAAGATTAAATAAAGTTGCAGCCGCAAAAAAGGGATAGGTGTGCGCGAGATATGAGTACAAAATTGAACTGCGAAACTTCCGGTCATTGTCGTGCTGCACGACACGCAAATAATTATTTTCACGAGCCATGCATCTTCGCTCGCGTCGATTAGTCATACTTATATTCGTGAAACTTATGAAACGTGGTCGACCAGCAAAAAGGAATGGGCTGCGAACGCCGAGTTAACAATCGATCTCCTTGGAGAGCAAGACTGACAGCACGTCATTCCGGTAAGTACGGGCTAACAACTTTGGAGTATAGTTCTCCACTGAGAATTCGTGACGTCTCTGAAGCGAGGAGAATTAATAATGCCATAAGCCGAATGGTAGAAATTAGGTATGATATTACACTTCAACTGTGTTTTCTTTTTACTTGAGAAGTAACTTTAACTTTAACTTAACAAAGTTACTGTATCGCGAGTACATCAATTATCTCGTAACAAGCGCTAGAAAACGATGTATTTTTTTAAAGTAACGAACACCATTTTTTAAATCAATATATTACAACAGTCTAGATGTCTAGATTAATTCTACAGCATAAAAATATTTCATGTTCTAAAATTTTTCCAATATTTTGAATGTTTTGTATTGCTGTAAATTCTGTTGTAAATTCTGCTGTAAATTTCAAGTATTATAAATTACAAATTTTTGTGGGACATGTTAAACTGTTTAATAACGAATGTAAAGAACTTTATTTATATTTTTGCACTAGTCAGTATCATTTAGACATTAAAACAATTATTGTTATTTAGATAAAATATGTTTTATTAGTAAATTCAGCTAAAATGTTGGGTTCAATTAAGTCGCTGAAGCAAAATAGCAATTTCTTCTATTTAATTAATGACAGAAATAGCTCAAAATTTGTAACTTTAAAATTTTTATAGCTTAATGTTAAATTTTTTATGTTCGCAAAAAATTATTTGTAGTAATGCGACATTTGCGAGTTCTCTTAAAATTAGAAATAACACGCTTAAGTGTATAGGTATGTACGGATATGTGTATTCAATCTTAAAAATGCATGTATTTTAAAAAGTGAAGGTCGATCTGGGGGCCTATTCTGTGTGTAACTCATTATGCAGTATCGTTATCGTTATGCTGTCGTTGCGCAAGTATACTATGTGGTAAAAAAGTTACGCAACGACAACATAACGATAACGATACTGCATAACGAGTCCACAGAGTAGACCCCCTGGTGCAATAAAGTCGTTAAAGTGTCGCTAATAAGTCTCGTGTAAATATAAATAAATTCACGAGAACAATCAACTCCGATTATTTTCGATTTCTATTATTCTTATTTTCATCCTAAATCTGACATATTTATTATTGTCAGTTATTAGAACAGAAGATGGCTATTTTCGATCAAATTTCTTAAATATTAATTCTATTTTTCCGTACACATAAAGAGTCAATTGTTTATGTCATGAGTTCATGTTATGAGTCAATATGTTTTAATATCTTGAAAAAGATAAAGAAACAAAAAAGGTATCTTTTGACGTTTCTGCAATATTTCAATACGGATCAGAAAAACAAGACAAAAAAAAAATAAAGGTGATTACTAATTAATTAGCGAAAAGCTGGATCTTACAGGAAGTTCCTCCCTCGCGCATTTCCCATGTAGCTCTACGTGTTTATTGAACAAGTATTTTTCTTCGCGCGACGTGTTTGAATTCTATCACACATGTAATTAATATATTTACGAAATGAGAAATAAACCATGGCATTATTACAAAACATGTAATTACTTCGCGCTAGAAAATGCGATTAGACCTCTCGGCGCGCAGCAGCGCGATGTGATCTTCGACGCTTCCTAAGGGAGTCCGTGTCCATGGATATACATTAAACATAAATGAACTCCGTATAAACGCGTGTTGCCCCGTAAGCAACGTGAACGGCATTTTACTTTCAGTACCCAGGTGTGTGGTGAACGAGTAAACTTGGGAAGACATGTGCTCAAACGCTTTACACCACCGCTTGTGGTGAACGATGGTCCATGGGGGCTTCCGCCTCGTTCCGGACATCTTGGCCCGCAGGCGCTCTCGATCTCGTCTCGCTGCTCTATCAGCGATGGCAGCACGCAGCGGGCTGCGCCATACGCCGGTCTCAATGAACGAATTAAACTCTCATTGTAGCGATGCGGTCACCACGATGGACACCGTTCGTCCGTTCCCCGCGCTCCCTGCCTCACTTCTCCCGCGTCTTATCTTGATCTGCGCGCTTCACGAGCTTCTGTCCTTCTCATCGCCTCGTTTCCGGTACACGGCTCCCTTCCTCTCTTGCTTCTGTTATTGCTCGCGCATCTCGTAGCAGACCCGCAGTGTTTTCCCGCGTTTTTGATCTCGCTGCATCTTGTGCGCCGCGAACCGTAAAATTGCCAGTTTAACGATTACAATTGTTGAAATACTTATCGCTCTTAGACCGCGCAATTAGACATCGATTAGGTGCAAGAGACTATGCACCGCTTTTATGTAAAAGAGAAGAGAAGTCAGAAAGTTTACAATTCCAAAGAAGAATATTTATGCGCCTAAGTAGAAGGATGTAAATGCAAGAGCATATTTTTTCAAGAGTAAAAAGCTTTTTGAGCTTTAAAAATTCAAAATTACAACCATGTACTTTAAAGATAAATTATGCAACTAAATAAATGAAGACAAATATAGAGAGGGCGAATAAAAAGAATTGCTCTTTATAAGACCGACATAGTTTTCGATGAAACTGGAACGATTATTACACATCTCGGAGATGCAAATGCTCCATGATTGAATGTTAAATATTTCTTTTTAAATTAATGTCAGTTTTCGTACGCTTGCATTTTTTCGAACGATAACGTGTAACAAGAGGTAAAATATTAAGATGTTGGTCAGTCAAAAGTCCTATCTTGCTCAGAAATTCCCGATTCGGCCATTGTGGTCCTACGAGCACGATTTGGGGTACGATCGATACGATCCTGATGGTATTGTAGCAAGCTTAAAAGGAGAAGTTTCTATCGAAATCGAAGCTCGAAATATTCGCGAAATTTCCTTTTCGTATACGTGATCTTTTTCCCTTCTTACATTATCGTGCATTTCTCAAAGAAATAATTGTAAATATGCAAAAAATTGGAATTATGTAAAGAAATATTCGCTAAAAATTTTAGTGTTAATATCTCATAATTTATTACTTGAACAGTCTACGAGAGAATTGTTCCTGAATTATCTGTCATTTCTTTAGAAATAAATCCGCGAAAAGGAAAAGATTTCATATAGAAGGAAAAGGAAGGAAGAGGAAAAGACTTCATATGGAAAGAAAAATGTTTCACTTATCCTAATGTTTATGGATCATGTGTGTCATAAGATCGTTTGAGTTAAAATTACTTCTTTTTAGCAGCGCGGAGGAAACGCAGAAATAATATTCTCTTCGGTTTAGAAAGGCTCGCATCTTTCATCTCTAAAG